CCTATTTCATGTTTATTCTTGGTGGCAGGTCACAGATTAATAAAAATACATAAGTGACAGGAAAATGCACTTAATCAAATTCCATGAGTCCATATAAAGTTCCAAAATATTAATTTAAGTACCTAACTTGAGACATGTTCTTTAAATAGATAGTAATCTATATTAAAAAGAGAAACTATACCTGGCTTGGCACATCTGAAAGTATCTCTGTATGATGTTACTCCTGACATGCAAAAATATATCTCTTCTCCAGCACAGTATTTACATGCAACATTTATGCAGCTTTTTTTGCCAGGATACCCACCAGCTGCAGTTGGTCCCCTATATGTTTTCAGATCCACTACATCTTACAGATTGAAATAGCATTGCCACATAAGAGCCCTGTGTGAGGAAGGGGCTCAGCACTTTGGTTCATCAGACAGAAGGAGGGTTTGTGCCTTCCTGCAGAAGTGACCCTGAGCAGCTTTGGGTAAAACAATTATATTTTAAAATAGATGGGGGATATATATATTATATATACATTACTGCCCTCAGGCTCAGCTCAGCTGGAAAGGCAGGGTAGAAAAGGTGAATAAAAAATAGAATTATTGACTGAATTAAATCAAGAAACAACAGAAGTCTTTATCAGCAGATTTATCAGTAACACTTGTACTAAAGGTCTCCTGCAATGTTTATTGACCCAGGTCCTGCCTCAAGTTATTCCTTACAGGGGACACAGCATTACTTGGGATGTTAAATGTTCAGATTAGCCCACCCAAATTTATGAATTACATCCTGCTTTATTGTTTCTTCCCAGTCCTGTCCTTTTTCCTGCTGGTTTGCAGATTGTCTATCTGAGCTTGGATTCCTTCCTTGGAATCCTACGTGGGAATGAACATTGGTATTTCAGCACTTCAGTGGGACAAGAGCTATTTGTTTTGCTGCTCTGTGAGAAAGGTTGGCCATCTTTGTGCTATGAAAGAAACTTAATAATGCTACTGAGGGAACTTGGAAGATGAGTTCAGGCGTTGCTGTGCTTCACTCAGCTTGTCATGGCAAGTGAAGGCAAAGCAAGGACATACATTCAAAGGCTGGAAAAATAAATCCGTATGGATGTGTGTTGAGAGAAGGGCACTGGCTTTGACCCCTAAGGACGTGCATGCCAGGAGGGACAGTCAGTATTTAGTCTTTCCTGGTTGTGAACACAGAATGTGTTTCTTTTGTCCACCTTTGCCGGAGGCAGTTTTAGAGCTTCTGCAGGTGCCTCCAAAAGGGATGTCTCGAAAGGACTATCAAAGGGTATAAGCCACCAAAACAAGTTTCCACCATCAACAGCAATGTATTGATGGTGAAAATGTAGTGACCGTGTTTTTCCAGCAGTTTTCAGCTGTCTTGATAAGGGAAACCACTGGGTATTAAGCAGAACTTCATGATGTCTGGTCCACCTTGTTAGTGTTACATGCATGGGTCTGCCCTGCTCTTGGCATGGTCCTTCTAACACATTTAACTGTAGAGGTGCTTCCCTGAAAACTGTTTCAGTGTGTGTCCAGCTTGAGACAAGCCAGTGTACTTACATGTTGGCTCCCTTCCATCCTAATTCTGCATGTTATGACAGCCAGCCCACCTCCCAGCCCAGTGTCAGTTTATCCATGGAGAGACCTTCCTTGAGATGGTAAAGCCACAGATATGAGTCACCTGAGCTGTAGTGAGACCAGAGCCAGATGGATGCAAGTTCTGCCTCAAGAAAGAGAGCTTTGAAGAGTGTCAAGAGTTACAGGCAGATGATTGTAGGCAGTGTTCAAAGTGACCCCCCAGATTTTGAAATCTGAGAAATAAGAAAGAAGTCATGGGCTCAAAACCCTTTTGTATGGTGTGACAGTGGTAGTCAAAAAGACCAGCAACCTAATTACTCTGATTCTTTGCAGGCATTTCAGCAAAGCAGAACTGTATTGAAGAACTTGAAGAAAGTTAATCAAGTAGGTCTGCAGAAGATAATGAAAAAAGACTTCATACGAGTTCAACACTTGGAGAACTGTTGAATGAGCTGACTGGAGGCAGGAATGATTTTTGAATTAGATGGGTCAGTTAGGCAGGACACTCATTCAAAACCTTCAGAACTCTCAAATGGTGCTGTAAATAGTCTGGTGGGGGAGCTGGGAGTGTAAGGGAATGTCTGCTTCACAGGTTGACCACCTGAGGAGGGAAAAAAAGATGTGTAATTTCTAAACACTTCCATTATATAGCTCCCAAAGTATGGAGGTGGTGATCACACTGGGAACACAAGCTAGAACAGTTTCATGATCAATGAGTCTACTGTATTACAAGTCACCACCATAAAATACAGCAAAACAAGAACCTTATGCCAAGCCCCCCCAGCTGATAAACACTAAAACAGCAAATACCAGCTGTAAGGTACAACATGCTGAAGCTCTGAGATCAAGAGCAACAACTTTGAGAGCCAATAAATCAGCCTTGTGATAAGTGACTATTAATCCGAAACGATGAATGCTTATCACAAATACCATTAGACACATTCCAGTCAGATCTGTCTTTATTTCAACCCTTTGGGCCCCACTTTGGGCACCACAAAGAACCATCATGGTTTAAGCCCAGCCGGCAAACCAGAACCATGCAGCCGCTCTCTCACTCCCCTGCCTTCTTCTTCCCCCCACTCCTGGAGGGATGTGGAAGAGAATTGAAAGAATGTAATTCCCACAGGTTGAGATAAGAACAGCCCGGTAACTAAGGTATAACACAAACCACTACTGCTACCACCAATAATAATAATGATAAGAGAAATAACAATGGAAGAGAATACAACTGCTCACCACCCACCGACCGATACCCAGCCTGACTCGAGCAGTGGTCTGGGCCTTCCGGGTAACTCCTCCCAGTTTATATACAGGGCATGATGTGCTCCATCATGGAATACCTCTTTGGCTAGTTTGGGTCAGGTGTCCTGTCTCCTCCTCCTTGGCAGAGCATGAGACTCAGAAAGTCCTTGGTCAGACTAAACATTACTGAGCAACAACTAAAAACATCGGTGTTATCAGCATTGTTCCCAGGCTGAAAGTCAAAACCACAGCACCAGCTACTAAGAAGGAGAAAAATGACTGCTACTGTTGAACCCAGGACAATTACATAGTTCAGAAATCAGTCTAGTCAAACCCTACTCACAGAAAATGCACTACATTAAAACTCAGATCTGACATTAGCTCAATTGCAATTAAATTTATATGTATTCATATTCGACCGATATCATTGTTTTAAAGCTGTGCATCACAATGTAAATACTGTAACAGTGAGGTTCAGTGGGTCTGCTTAGTCCATCAGGTACTCTCATAGAATTCTCTCATAGAATTCGATAATGAGAGATCAATTCCTATCTTTATTCTCACGTATTTTAGGATGGAAAGACAGGTAGTGTAAGCATAGCGTAAGGTGTCCCTGCCCACGGCAGGGGGGGTTATAACTAGATGATCTTAAGGTCCTTTCCAACGCTAACGATTCTATGATTCTATGATTCTCACTAACGTATATGTTCCTGGGGAGGTTAAACAAAAGATAGTCTTTTAAGGTGTAACTGTAAAGAGCAGGAAATTTACCTGGGGTATAAAGAAGGAAAACATCAGCATTTACTTTACATTTCAGTTTCAGGTTTAAAGAAGGCAAAGACATGCCATCGGTCACATTAGTCATGGGTTGGTTGGGGTTTTTTTCCTCCTTTTTTTTTTAGTTTTAAGTAGTTGTGCTTTCTTATGTCTTTGTTTAGTGCCTACAGCTATTAAGAGCTGCCTGGAGGATGGACAGTGATGGCAGTTTCACCCCCACCATCGCTGTCCTGGCCCTTCTAAGCAAATGTTAGCACAAGTAGCAGAAGCGGGGACAAGAGAGTGATGGATGGGGTTAGGGAAGCAGGATCAGTGGTTAGGTGCAATAAGACCCAGGAGAGGAAGATAAATCTCTCTGAAATACTTCATCATCTGCAAGCAAGAGCTACTGTCTCCAAAAAAGCCTTGTTCAGGCTCCCTCAAGGTGTGTACCATCTCTGATGCTGAGAAAGAAACATGTGCGTTGCTGGTTGAACTGACATCTGACGTTTAATTCGGGGTTTCGCTGATGCCAGTCTGCTTCATCCTTCCAGTTTTAAGACTGCAGAGGAAAATCATAGCAGCAGCAGAGCGGATGTTGCAATGAATGAAAATTTGGTTTACAGAAATAGACATGTAAAAAATGCTTAACCTAGCAATAAGACATCTGCCTTTGTTTTATACCAGTATAATGCCTGCAGTGGCTTAAACTACAGAAATGCCTCTGACATCTTGGCTGTTCAACAGAGCAGTGTTGCACCCTACTTCATCTCTCTCAACCATGGGCAAGAGAGTATGAATGGTGCCTGTGGACTGATGAAAGTTTCTCTTTGTAATAAGGTACAGGCTGAAAGCAAGCACTGTATTATCTTTACAGCTGACTTTCACATTGCAACATTTTAGGCTAATTTTCATCACAAATAAAGTTCACAGATTATTTTCACTCAGTGCTAGTGCACACCCATGCCCAGCCTCTTGTAAGCCCAAAACAATCCGCCTACCTTTCAAAAGACAGCTGCAGGCAAGTGGAAATGAGACCTGAGGCACTGAGAGATTCACATCTATTTAAAATGTAGGCTGAATTCCTTACAGATACTGGCTCAGGTATCTTGTATAATCTTCTATCAGGATTGTATCTCCACCTCAGTTTGTATGACATTACCTGTTTTGAATAGGACAAAGGCTCACTGCTGCTGTCAGTCCTGTTCCAAGCTCAATATTAATCTGTTCCTTTGTGGATGCCATTTTTTATCAGGTGTCCAGAAGAGCATCCCTATGCCAACTCTCTATTTCCAGACTCATTGCTCTTTGGCTCACACAATTTCTGGGGAGACAAGCTCAGACCTGAATGCCTCTCCTCTCCATGGCAGAGAAAAAAGAAGTCTCTGGTGCCTGCTCTGTGGAGAAAGTTGATTCATGTGTAAATTACAGGTTACTCTTTATTTGCTCGGTCCGTGGAGAGTGCACACACAGATAAAAGGCTCGGTGGGACAAAGCTGTGTACGTGCCGGTTTCTCCTGTGGCCATGATGACAGGGTTAGGGTTCTTATCAAAGGTTATCAGACAGGCTCTGATGTCTTACCATTATTTACTCGTGGTGTAGCACATAAAAATAAAACTTGGCACATGGGAGAGTTTTGCAGCATTTCAGCACACTGCAGCTGCATATCGTCATTACCATCAGCCTTTGGTATCAGGAGTTTTGCACATCTGTCTTTATACTGAAATGCTTTGCTTTAAGTAGCTGTTTTACCTAGAGTGAGAGCATACTCTGGGCTTCTCCAGCCCTCTGCAGGAAAAAAAAAAAAAAAAAAGGAAAAAAGAAAATGTGGGTATTATCTGAGCAAAATAATTTCTGAGATGTTGTATGAAGAAATGGCAGAGGGAGGCTTGCACTCGTTTTGCACTGAAACCCCTTTAATGTTTGATTTCACGTGCCTTAATTTCCAGTCACAGCATTGAACGGTTCTGAGATTCTTCCAACACCCCATGTTGTGACTCATTTAATACCATAGTTATAACATATTTGTCTACTTTACAACTGTATTTGTATTGGCATATAAAGTACAGCAGCTGGGAGCTGTGTGGGGTAGCAGAAAGTTATTTGATCTACAAAATCAGTTACCTGTCACTGAAACATAATAAAGAATCATTATGGGCTTATTAGCAGGGCTGATGTAAATGCATTTTGTGTGCCATTTTCAGATCAACAGTTACCCACACACAAGTGAAGTTCCTAAGTACAACCTTCTTTGTTTAAGAAGGCAATTCATAAATCAGGCATGATATTAATCTTATGAAATGTAAATTCAAGTCCCCAAGGGTCTGATCTATTGGGTCAGCTTCAGTTTAGGCACTGGGGACTGTCCTTTCCTTCAATAACCAGTAGACAAAGTCATCTGTGCTGACATACTGCTTCTACTTTTGTACAAAACCATGCTATGAATGCTTCTTAAAAGGCTTTTGTGGGGGGAAGGGGGAAAAAAAAAAAAAAAAAAAAGCAAGCTTTTTAATATGTTCAAAAAACATGAAAATAAATGTTTCAAATTGGATTAGGAGAGTGAGGGTATAACTTGTTGCACACGGGTTTTATATCTCCCGTGAGAATCTTTTCTTTTTCATTGTTATTAATGATATCACATTTTTGTGTATAATATTGATGCTGTTGAAATCACTTAGCGGCTTTGTTTGCCAGAGAGAACCTGTCTAAAAAAAGAAAGTTCTTAACACTAATATTTTGAAATTCAGCTCACATCCCTTGTTACTCTTTTAGTTATTTAAATTGCATTTTGAAAATTCCCACAGTTTCAGAATCTGAGTTTCCTCTTGATCTTATCAATGCAGTTTGAAGCAAGTGTCTTCAAAGCCACTTGTAAGTGCACTTTTTGTCTCTTCTTAGGGATTAGCAAGGCCCACACTGGGGATAAGAAGGAAATTCGGAGTATGGTAAAAAGCCAGTTCTTCAGAGTCTCATTTTACCTTCTCCTGCACACTTCTCCAGTTCATTTTATCAGTCCATCCAGCACCTCTGGTCCCTGCCATGGGGTTTGGTGATGAAACACAAGCAGGAACACCATGCATCCTAGCTTGCATTAGGCATCTGGGAAAATAAAATTTGGTAATTTGGTACAAAAATTTAGTTGGTAATACCTGAAATGAGCTGCCATGGGGGAGCAGCAGGTTACATCCAGGTAAGAATTCAGGTGGAGTGTTTGGCACCATGAGATAGCAGCTAATGACAGCAGTGAAGACTACAGCTTGAATAAGTCTTGATTTAATTGGACTGATAAAAGCTGTGTTCTTAGCTGCCAGCTTACCTGGCTTTACAGTATCCTTACTTCCAGTGTGGTGTAGCCTTATCAGTACAAAAATACATTTTCTGAAAGATATTCTGGTTGATAACCCAGACTCAAAAACACTTAGGAGAGTTAGTAGAGGGATATAGGTTTTTTCAGTAATATCAACCTGTCTGTATAGTAAAGAAGTGAAATATTTGGCAGTTCTATATATATACAAATATGCTTAATGTATGTAAGTATGGAGCATAGTACACAAATATACCATTTACTTAATATAAGCAACAACGTTCTGTGGCAGTTTTCCTAAGAATATATTTTATACATTTGTGAGGATATATATATGATATAATTATACGACAAAAATATTTGAAGGTTGTGAACAGATTTGTTTATACGCATATGGACTTACTTACCAGGATAGCTGCTCTCAAATGCAGAATTCTTATTTACATTGTGCCATAAACATGCATTCATACATGTACAGAACTATACATTGCAACAAGGAGCAAATGTCAGTGCTCAGAGCAAGTCTTTGCTTTAGAGACCTTCATCTATGATGTACGTCAGCGCTGTGTGTTAAATTACGGTACAGATTGAATGAATATTGCAGCACAGTTAATTAGGAGTGTGACTTTTTTAAGTGGGATCCTGCATTCTCTGTATCTTAAAAAGGTGAAGCCAAGTCATCTGTCTGGTGTAAAGCTAAAAGCGGGCAGATTTTTGGATGGGCTTAGAGTAGACTTGTGCATGAGAAGTGTATACATGGTTGCACACCTGGTTTGTGTTCACAGGCATTGTGATTTATGAGCACAAGTAAGTAAAAATGCTACAAATTATGTATACACTTAAAATGCATGACATTTTAAAAGTTGCATACTATTTGCATGACATTTAAAATCTGATCACACCAGAGCAGGCTCTGCTGCCCAGTAGGGAGAAACAAGCAAGGAAGGTCACATAGCTATAATTACTTTTTGGCAACTTTCCTGATTCAGTACGGGACCATTGCAAACAGTAAAACTGGCTGCACGTGATTTTGTGGTTTACATTACGTACCCTTAATTAATAGCAAACAACTCTTGTGCAGTCTTAGATCAGAGCTGAGTTATGACTTCTAAGCAGCCACATTTCACATTCATGCAACTTAATGGCACAAAGGAAGTTTTGTTTTTTATTATTATTTAGTGAAGGCACAAAAGCAAGAACAAAACTAATATAATGTCACCAAGTCAGTGTAACAGTAGTTCTTATAGCTGTGCATCTCACTGTTTTCTGGATTACTTTGCAAATAATAAATCAAATTCCTCCTCAAGGTGACATGTCAGTAATTTCAAATTTGATTAGCTTTATATGAAGGATGTTGATAGATTTCTACATGAATTTTTGATAGCTCAGCAGACTGACAACCTTAACACTTACAATGCCCCTTTGTGACAGTGTGGCACACTGAAATAATGTTAACCTACTTAAATCTATAAAACCTTGGGGATCCTAGTTGGGGTATGGCTCAGCAAGCTTGACTTTCACCTGTTCCTCCTAAGAGGATCTGGGACGTGAAATAGCTGTTCAAGAATTTTGCTGGGTTTATTTTTAATGTTATAAATGAAAACAGATAGGACTGAAGAGGAATATCCAGTACTGTGCCCATAATTTCAGGCTTCCAGGTGAAGGAGATAAACCTCAAGGGATCCACAGGACATTTTATCCCTAAGACTGTAGAGTCATGAGCCATGCCACTCGTGAAGGAAGGCAAAAAGCAGTGGGATTCAGCATTGCTACCTGATGTGGAGCATTTTGCTGTTGCTGGAGTGCTGTAAAAGTGCCAGCTTTTCATCATTTCATGGTTTAAACTTGTTACAAATTCGTGTACTTGTTACATTCCTCTTAGCAAAAGTGCCAGATAAGAACAGATTTATGTCATCACTTGTGTAATGATTTGTCTTTATTTTCTTTGAAGAGGTTACAGGGAGGACTATATGAACTACAAAGTTGATAATTTTATGAAATTAAATAACTTTCCAGTATTTACATTTAAAGAATGAAAAGCCAAATTGTTTTAGTCTTGTTTTTTCTGGCTTCAGATTTTTCACACTCTTAGAGAATCATAGAATCAACTTTATTCAGATTAAGTAAAAATTAGTCTTTATATCAGCGTACATGTCATTAGCCCTTTAAAGAAAACTCACCATTACCTGACTGTTACCTGCCTGCCAAGCAGTCTGCCACACATCCCTGGCAGTATTCAAGGCCAGGTTGGAGGGGCTTTGAGCAACCTGGTGTAGTGGAAGGTGTCCCTGCCTGTGGCAGGGGGTCAGAGCTGGATGGTCTCTTCCAACCTGGACTGTTCTTGTGACTCTGTGACATTACTTTGAATCTGGGGGAATGTATTTTAAAAGGGAAGAACATACAGAACCCAAAACCATCAGTAAAGCCCAGCGGCTATTACTCAACAAACTAATTTATGTCTTATGCACATTTGGCTTTCTATAATGGGTTATCTGCTTGTTTTATAGCTCTAGAGAGTTAAATATACAGGATGTATCTGTTTAAGAGAGAAATGTTTGTGCTGGTGCCCAGTTTGCTTTCAAGACAAAGGGAATAGAAGAGTTCTTGTCCTGGAAATCTGACCAGTAATTGGAAATTTTTTACCAAATATTTGATGCACATCAGGCTACTGTTTGTTAGGGCATATGGATATATGCCCATGGTAGGAGAGACAGCATTTTCCTTTCCTAATGTCTCATGAAATTAAGAGGGTCCAGGTAGATGCATGGGTTAAGAGTCTTAGCTGGAATAAATCAAGGTGCTATAAAATTATTCCAGCTCAGAGCAATTAAGAACTAGGATTTTGTCATTAGCTGGTTTTGTACTGCACAGAGCAAAGGCATCCTGTGGTGGTGGGCGATAACTACTCCTGTGAGTACGTACAGCAACATCCGTCATTGCCAAGTCCAGGAGGTATGTTGTGGTACTGCAGTAGCAAACACAGCAACAAACAGTGGTTGGGAATATGTGAGAGATATTGGCCGTAGAACATGGATAGAAGCATGCAATGTGTGTTGTGTTATCTGAACAGTAGCATGATGCATGTGCAGTATAATTGTCATAAATAAGCTGCTGAACTTGAACGTCTGCACAGGTGATTGCCTTTTTGGGCAGATTAATGTTTTCATAATTTGACTGGGTTGTTACATCTTTTGTATGAGTATTACGTATTCACTTCTGAAAGTGAGCCTC